TGTGACACACACACACACACACACACACACATACACACACCCCTTCTGGCCCACACCCCAGCCCTTTTACTAAAAAATAAAAAAGAATTAAAAAAAAAAGTGTTAACAGCCTAATTGCTGAATAATCTAGTCCAGAATTTTCCTAGAGTTGATACCAAGTTCATTAGTCTAGAGGGTGCAAGATTGCCCTTAGCATCTTGGAACTTTTTAGTGCTTTCATTCTGCCAACACCTCCCTCCCATTCCCTCAAAGATTACTGACACTAGCTTCATGAGTCTCATTTGCCAATTAACCTGGTATTCTGGGTCACAAGACATGTGGACCAGGAGATCTGAAATCAAAGCTTCAATTCTCTTATCAATGCCTGAGTGACCCTTTCTAGTTTGACAACCATTCTTTTTGAAACGGAAGCAAACAGCAGAACTCAAATACACAAAAAAATTTCTCTCTGCTACTTATTAAAAATACTCTGTCCAAACAATGGGACCTGGGTTGTGTTCTTGTTTCAAAGAGGAAAAAAAAAAAGTCTTTTTTGCTGATCATAGCACTTTTTACAAGACTCAGTTGTTCCTGAGTTTCAGCATTTCTTGACCCTGTGCCTTAAAATCTATGCTGGGGGCCTCCCCAGTGGCGCAGCGGTTGAGTGCTGGGGTGCGAAGCTGCTCGCAGCCTCTGCTGTGCCGGCTTGATCCCTGGCTGCTCCCCGGCCACCAGAGGAGGGTCCCACATGGCGAGCAGACCTCTCCTGCCACCCACTGCTCCCCTCAGCAGTGTACTTCGGCCCTTCTGCCTGCTCTGCTCCCCGCTCTGGCTCTGGTGAATTCTCTCACACTCCCGCGCTTCTGACTGTACCCAGTGCTTGTAGAAATAAATAAATAAATAAATAAATAAATCTTTAAAAAAAAAAAATCTATGCTGGTATAATGTACTTCTCTTTACAGTTTTTGTTCAAATTATTAAAAAAAACCTGAGTTATGTATAATTATTTCATATGTACCTATACTGGTAGGTGGAGATATTATACCCCTTTTTGTTTTCAGTGGACTATTTACAATAATAATAATATTAAGAGGTGTCTTTTGGGGTCTCCCTGGTCATAGAGGGGTTAAAGTCTCAGTGCTATCAAGCTGTCGCCAGCCACCGCTGCATGAATTCAATCCTGGACAGGGAGCTAACCCACATGGCACAGCAGATCTCTCCTGTCTCGCCTGCCGCACCCCTCAGGAGTGTACTTCAGTAGAAACACCTGTTCTGCTCCCCACTCTGTCTCTGGTGGATACTCTCACAACCCGTACCTCTGGCCTATATTCCAGTTTTTGTATGTGTAAATAAATAAAAAAATAAATCTTAAAAAAAAAAAAAAAGAGGTGCCTTTAGCAAGGGGTTAAGACACAACCTGTGAAGCTATCCACAGTCACCGCGGCAGGAGTTTGTTCTTTTTCTTTCTTTCTTCTTTTTAAAGATTTATATATATATTTATATAAGCACTGGGTACAGTCAGAAGTGCGGGAGGGTGAGAGAATTCACCAGAGCCAGAGTGGGGAGTAGAACAGGCAGACCGACGAAATACACTGCTGAGGGGAGCAACAGGTAGCAGGAGAGGTCTGCGAGCCATGTGGGACCCTCGCTGGTGGCCGGGGATTGAACCAGCGCTACAGAGGCAAAGCTTTGCAGCCCAGCGCTCAACCACTGCGCCACCAGGGGAGGCCCTGCAGCAGGAGTTTGATCCCTGGCCAGGGAGCAACCCACATGGCACAGCAGACCTCTCCTGTCTTGCCTGTTGCTCCTCTCAGCAGTGTATTTCAATAGATCTGCCTGTTCTGTTCCCCACTCTGTCTCTGGTGAATCCTCTCACCCCCTAGACCTCTGGCCTGTATCCCAGTTCTTATGTACATAAATAAATAAATCTTTTATGAAAAAAAAAAATAAAAGAGGTGCCTTTTACTGAGTGTAGACTATGCACCAGGTCTTATGTTAAATTCTTTATATAGTTTGCTTCCTTTCATTTCTGTAACAAACCAATAAATAGGCATTATTTTTCCCATCTCACAGTTGAAGACTAAAATTCCCAGACTTAAATAACTAGCCAATGGTCATATAACCAGCAAATACAAGATGGAGACAAAACACACGTTTTCATGACATCAGCTAAAACATTAATACACTATTTCTCCTTAAGGGGTTTTAAGACCATGAAGACACATCCCTCCCCCGCCCCCCGAACTCTTAAAAGAACTACTTCTTAAAAGCCAGGGCAGGGCTTCCCAGAGAGTATTCAATAGAATTTTAAGAGAAGCTTCCAGAAAAGCAGATATGGAAAGGATTGGGTGTAATACGCTACATCTCAGGTTAGGAATTTGTAAGATGCTGGCATTTTGAAGACTCTGAGGACTAAAAAGGGCAAACAAATTGGTCTCATTTTGCACAAGTCACCATTCTCCAACCTGAGCCATGGAGCCCCAGGACCGCGTCCCCACCTTCACTTAACACACAGTCAGAATGAATTGCTCAGCTAAGTGCATCTCCTCATCTCCTTTACCCTGCGATACAATCTTTCCGGAGGCCTGTGGGACAGTTATCTACCACTCACCTTCAGTTCTGGGTCTGATGAAGTCGACGTTCTGCTGTATGACCAGGGCTTGCCTTGGTTCCGGTTTTGTGATTCTTACCTGGAATGTGTCATCCTTTCTCTTTACTGAGTGGGCAAGCTCCTACTAAATCACGTCTGAATTTTTTTCACCATCCTTTTTTAAAATTTCAAGACTCAAATAGTTCTAAAAAGTTCATTACAGTAGTCAGCAATTTTCCCATTCGCCCTCAGAGACAACCATTTTCATCTCTGCTAGCTTATTCCTTGGATATTTTTCCTCAATATTTCTAATACACTTCATTTCTTATTTCCCAGTACTCCCCTCTCAGGCTTTATCTATTGTCTTCCAATTATGGGAGAGGAGTTTTTAATGCTCATCCATCCCACTCTCCCACCTTCCCCTCTTCCCAAGATAAAAGTCTGGTTCAGTATTGTTTACATGACAATGACTACACTAATGCTCTTTATAACTAAGCCATAGAGTATACCATGGCTGATTTTCCTTTCCGGTGTGATCTTCTATTTTTCTTTTTTTCTTTTTGTGGGAACCTTGCCGGTGGCCGGGGATCGAACTGGCGCTGCAGAGGCTGCAAGCAGCCTCACAACCCAGCGCTCAACCGCTGCACCACCAGGGGAGGCCCTGTCTTCTATTTTTCTTATCTTAGTTTTCTATGTATATCACTAATTCAATCCTAAACTAACTTTCAGTGGTCTACAGATTCTCCCAAGACATTCAAATACACCAAGCACTGATCAATTTTATTTTCTTAAAGGCATTTCTCCAGAGAATCCTTCCAAACTACTCCAATTCAGTTGCCTTCCATACTTGCTGCACAGCTGTCATTATGGAACTGCTTTTCACCCTCATCCTGGTGATTCCCCTTGCCTCTTTCTCATTCTGGGCCCTATTTTCTGTACCCCATATGTCTTCCCCACTCATTTTGATGAAGCATATCCTCTACAGATTTCACTTTGGTTTTTAGTATGCTTCTCTCATCCAAATGGTTCCCTCTGACCTGCCATGGGTCTCCAGGCAAACTGAACTATCAGCTTTCCTTGGTGCAATGGTATGTAAGTTTCCAAGGCCCTCTTTCCAGTTATTTCTGCCTATGAATTGGCAGTCTTCTCCACTTTCATCTTCTTTTACAGGCTGTTATCTGCGGTGAAGAGGCCTAGATCTGGAGTCACACCAACCTAACATTTCAATTTTGATTGTGAAACTTATTCTTTACTTACTGATCCTAAGATAAGTCATACAACTTATATAAATCTCTGTATTCTAATTTGTGAAGTGGGGAGGATAGCAGCTCACAATATAGGAGCTGGCACATGGTGGTGTGCAATGAAAACGGTGTCTAGTTGAGGATTTCTTCCTGTATTGTGAGTACTGAGAGGCAATTTATGGGATACGTGAGAGGCACACCTTGGTTATTTAGAAATTGAACTGAATCTTGCCCTTTATTTATTCAAAGTGCTGTCTATATAACATATTCTGTATTTATGCTTCCCACTGGATAAAGCGACTTCACATATCTTAAAACACCATCTCCTTCCACCATCAAAAAAGATACCTGATTTCTAGTATGCACAGCTTACAGTACATGCTCCTGTTCATTCTACCCATACTTTATAAACTAACAGAACCTTATCTATGTTTCCACTCCACCTCCACCCTGGTCTCATCATATTGAAAAGTCTTAATTTTCCCTTTTTTTTTTAATTATTTTTTTTTGTGGGACCCTCACCGGTGGCCGGGGATCGAACTGGCGCTGCAGAGGCTGCGGGCAGCCTTGCAACCCGGCGCTCAACCGTTGCGCCACCAGGGGAGGCTCTTAATTTCCCCATTTTAGCATAAGGATATGGTCATATCCTATCAGAGGAGCCTAACTGCTGAGACTCCTTTCAGCCACAACCCCAGTCCTGTGACAGTGGTGATGTCTGCACTGACCACACAAATTAGTGCCTTTTCCGTGGGGACGCCCAGGAACAGGATTCCTCCAGGGCATCAAAGTTGGCAACGATTCAGAAGTGAAGTCCATTTAGCCTGCTGAGCCCAGTCCAACCTTTGGCTTCTGCCTCGAGCCTGGGAGATTATCCCTTTTGCTTTCAGACTGCTGACAAAGCCTCTGAACTTTCCAGAGAAAGAACCACATGCAGGTCTCCCTTAAGGGCAGGATTGGGAAAAGGGGTGTGGTGGGGAGGGGTGGGCTAGGGATGGGGGTGTGAGGGCACAGGCTCACCTCCACAGTTATTGTTAAGCCCAAGGCTGTATCCCCTTGACAAATCAACATTATCACAAGACAAATCCTCTGCTAGGGACTATACCAGGAGTAAAAGGCCACATAAGGTTACTGGTAAACAGTGATAACCCAGTAATAAAAGGCAATCTTTTCATTGCATATGCCCCAAGGACGGAATATGATGCTGGAACAGCGGGACAGTGACTGGCTGAAGAAGACGGGTAAGGAAAACGTCCGTTTAAGTTAGGGGATTCCTTGATCAAACATGAACTCTTCTGGGCAGCAGGACCTTCAGCCAGATCTTGCTCTCTGACTTGGGTGGGAGATTAGGACCCCTGCTCTCCTGAATGAGCCCACTTTAGGTAAAGTCCTTGGCTTTCCATTTTCCGAGACACTGAGTCATTTCCTCTTTCCAGCTCTCACCTTTGAGCCTTCCTTTCCCCTTCCCTGGAGAAGTGACTCACTACTGAAGTGTTGGGTGACACTGAGGATCAAGGATAGGTGATAAAAATACTCCTGATTGTGCAACTCAAGGAAAGGGAATGCAGTTCAGACTGAGAATTCAAAGTGCTGGTCATGCACTCTGAGGTTGGGGAGTTAACAATGGCCATGGCTTCAACTCTTTGGGGAAGTGGAGCAGAGAATGGAGTTCAAACAGAAATTTACCCACGCTGGATTTGCTGCGGAGCCCCTTGTTCTGCCCTTTCAAAGGTATATTTTTTGAGAATGGCACATCAAGGCAAGCACTTAGGATGATGAATGTGAACTACAGTGAGGTAGATAAAGGGGAAGTGGGGAGCTGAGGCTGGGGTCCTTCCTCCCATCAACCCTGCAGAGAATATCTGGGGCCTCAAGAATGGGGCTGTTTCTTTCTGGGTTTTCTCCAGTGAAAACAACCGTACTTCCCCAGCGTGGCAGTGGTGAGGGAAGCCAAGGTGATAGATGCAAGCTCCAGGCTGGCTGTTGCCGGGACGCCATAGGTCTCTTAGAGCAGGGTCACCAAAGACTGCCCTGTGTGCCACGGCAGACCAGCTGTCCTCCCAGATGAAAACTCCCCTTCCTTCCCACAATTCACTGGATGCAAACTAGAAACTTTCTTTTTCTAATTAATCTTCCAGGGCCTTGTAGACTGAGTAAAACAAAACACAATTTTCTTTAAAGGATGACTCCTTGATCAGGTCACAAGCTATTCAAGATGGGAACAGAAGAGGCAAAGTCACCCTATCCAAAGGGCCAAAACAGATGGCAGCAGACACCCCTATAAAAGTGAGAGAAATACATGTGAGTGAATGTGTGTTGTGGTGGGGGGAGTGCAGCTGGGACTGTCACAACAGGAGAATCCATGCTATAAAACCTTACCTCTGGAAAATTAAGACAAAAAGAAGTCTTAGGGCCTCCCCGGTGGCGCAGCGGATGAGCGCTGGGTTGCGAAGCTGACCGCAGTCTCCACAGCGTCGGTTCGATCCCCGGCTGCTCCCCAGCCACCGGAGGAGGGTCCCGCATGGCGCGCAGACCTCTCCTGCCGCCCGCTGCTCCCCTCAGCAGTGTCCTTCGGTCCTTCTGCCTGCTCTGCTCCCCGCTCTGGCTCTGGTGAATTCTCTCACCCTCCCGCGCTTCTGACTGTACCCAGTGCTTGTATAAACAAAACAAACAAACAAACAAACAAATAAAACATGCCTCTATTAAAAAAATTAAAAAAAAAAAAAAAAAAAAAAGAAGTCTTAAAAGCTGTGGGTGTAATTCCAAAAGACCAAAAAACTTGGCTCAGCAATAATGAATGGTTAGTTTACCTTTTTTTTTTTTTAAGATTTATTTATTTATTTATACAAGCACTGGGTACAGTCAGAAGTGCGGGAGGGCGAGAGAATTCACCAGAGTCAGAGCAGAGAGCAGAGGAGGCAGACTGACGAAGTACACTGCTGAGGGGAGCAGCGGGTGGCAGGAGAGGTCTGCGCGCCGCCATGTGGGACCCTCGTCCAGTGGCGGGAACGAACCGAACAGGTGCTGCAGAGACTGCAGGCAGCCTCGCAGCCCAGCGCTCAACGCTCAACCACTGCGCCACCAGGGGAGGCCCCTGGTTAGTTTACTTTTTAATGGTGTCTCAACTACAAAATGCTTTTCCCATAGTTGGGAACTTTCCCCACCAGAGCATGTACACACACATGCATGAGCCCTGCCCTGCTTTGGGAAGGTATGTGATCCAGAGAGCGCCATAGAGATCCTCCAACCTCAGTCAGTGAGTCATTGGTAGAGAAAGGAGGAGGTCCTGAAACTTTGCTGCAGGTTCCCAGGTAACAGTAACAGTTTATAGATGTGCCAAGCTCCCCACGAAAATGCACCTTATCATACACATCCTCCACATCACTGCAGAGGGGCTAGGGAGCCAAGATCAGACTCCATAGACTGGTCCAGGTCACCTTAGAAAGGATGCCCAGTGACTTTCCCCCTGGGTCCCTAAAAGTGTCAGAAGTACAGTCTTTAGGCTAGGCTACCTTCAGTGGCACTAAGGAGTTGTTTCCCAAGCTTCTGAACTTACTCAGGCAGGCAGTGGGAAGGGAGGCGCCAGCAAGCCGAAGGAGGCTTTTCTCAACTGATCATCTTGGGAAAAGCCAGATACAAATTTCATGGCTGGAATGCAAGGGTTGTGAAACACTGGAAGCAGCCCCAAAGAAGGCCAAGGACACTCCTTCCGGGAAGGCAGCAGGGAGGAGAGCTGGCAAAGGCAAGTGGGTGAGGAGCAGGTTATCCAGAGGGGCCTGCCTTTCTGAGAAGCAGGAAGTGTGACCTCAAGAAAGAAAGAGAAAAAAAAAAAAAAAACCCAACAAACCCTAGCCCTAAGGTAGTGGTGTTGGGGAGGTGAGGAGTGGAGCCAGGAAGGGGGGGTTGGGGGGCGGGGGGGGGGACAGAGACAGGGTTGGTTTTGTTTCTGAATATGAAGACAACAGGGCCTTGTGTCAAAAGGTAATTCTGGTGTAAAAGAGCCAGTTATGACATAGCTCATTCTCTGGGATTTGGAAGTACCAGGCTAAGGGCATGTCCTCCTAAGAGTTAAATTTGCACAGTAAGCTTCCAACATGGGGCTTTAGCCTTGTCCTCAGTGTCACATGAGAGGTCTCTCTATTCATGTTCTAATTAATTAGATGAAGTCCACCAATGAGGGTCATTGGTGACCCCCTGTCCCTCAGAGACAGTCTCGTGTGTCCCTCATGGAGTCCCCAAGGATGAAGGAAGAAAGGTCACACCATGTGTGAACGTGTGAATGGTTGGAAGATTGCCCTAAGCACAACCCTTTTCTAACTTAAACCAAGTTACTTATTTGCCTCTCTGTACCTCAGTTTCCTTTTCTATAAAAGGGGGCTAATAAAATCATCTACTTCCTAGAGTGACTATGAGGATGAACTAAATTAATGTAGCATAAAGCACTCAAAACATTAGCTGGCACACGGTAAATACTGTATAGAAGTGTTAGTTGCTTCTGAGGTGTGAAAAGAACAAGAACCTGGCACCCCCAAGTAGGTAGAACCCAGCTGCTAATGTCAGACTTCATCAGTTTTTCTCAACTGCAGCCTCCTCAGGCCATATACAGACCCATGAAGACCTATGCATCAAATCACTCTAGCCCAAAAAGCTTGACTAAAGGAAAATCAGACATGCAGACACAATAAGACTGTGCTGCTGCTGCCCCTCAGGGAGCACAGCAAACACTGGTGCCAGCACATTTTGGGCTGGCTTTCTCAATTGCAATGCATGTGGTTTATCTGAAATGGGGTCAGGTCCCAGAGTGGGCAGCACAGATATTACAATTGTGCTTGCTAATCTGAACTGAGTCCATCACCATCGATCCTGAGATAACAGAACAGGAAGCTGGAATGTTGAGAGACTTGAGGAATGTGTTGGAAACTGCTCTTGGCAAAGAAGGAGGAACCCATTCCTCAACTATTGCTAACAAATTGGTAACCAGCACTGAAAACCTCAGAAGAGATGTTCTGACTCTTCTAGACATTAGATTCTGGTACTTCAGAGACCTGACTACAGGGAGGGGAGATGATCCCAGGGAACTGGTACCCCTGATCTATTCTCATCCATCTCTCTGTGGCTCAGCCAATATGGGCCAAAGGGTGAAAGCTACAGCCTCTGCCTTAGGTCTACAGACAGTCCTTGAACCAGATCTGATGCCCCACTGCCCTGAGGGGAGGGACTGAGTCAGAGCTTTGTGCCCCCTTTGCAATGTCTGGGGGTACAGGAGTTGGAAGTATACCCAACACAGGAAGTGAGATCTCATGCCTGTCCCAGATATATCAGAGGAGCAAGTTGGGTGTATCTCCATAGGAGTGCCTGCCCTTCTGCTCAAAACCTACACTTTCCAGAGGTGGGAGGGACATCTGGACTGAGCCTGCCTATGTGTTACAGACAATCTGCTGCGTCTTTAAGTCTTCAAATACCTCGCCAGTCTCCCAAGAGTGCCAAGGAGGCCCAGAAGGAGATGCCAAGTTCGTACATGGGAAGGAGTATGGGTCAGAGGCAGGGTCCAGACTTTTCATGAGTTTTCACATGCCCTGTGACCAGCCTGGCCATGATGTGAAGCTGCCAGGAGAAGACCATGGTGCCTCCAGCAAATGGCTGGAGAAACCCACTGGCTAGAGTTGAAAACTGCTCAGAGGTGACAGTGGGCTCTCCAGGCTCTTACCAAAGAGCTCAATCCTTCAGGATGCAGGCCCACTATGGGAGCCACTGTGGCAGTCTTGTCCCCAGAATAACTCTCCCTACTCCACAATCTGCTCCCAGTGTACTATCTCAACTTTAAGTAGCCAGGTCTCCCTATTCCAGACCTCTTAGCTCCTTCCCCCAACTTGTTAAAATTCTAGGAGTCCTTCAAGGTCCATCTTACATTCTTCCTCCTCCAAGAGGCCTTCTCCAACTGGATCATGCTGACTTATTTTTTCTGTAGTGCATTAAATCATAATTACTTCTGGGGATCATGAGGTGAGCAACTGGAGCTAGAATTCAACATAGTAACTACTTTGAATAAACTGCATCTACAGCAGATTCAGGCCAATTAATTAATTCATTGTTTCAGTTCATGAACCCCCAAAGGAAGAACCTACATCCCTGAGTCCTGAGCTTGTGTGTACTAGACTTCTGAGAGGAAGGACAGATGACCCTAGTCTTGCAGGAATGGTCTGCCTCCCTTTTAGATCAGGGCAGAGCAACTTCCTCCCTGGCAGACATGGTTCCTGCTCTAGGCTGCCAGCTCCTAGGCATCTGCTGCCAGCAACTATTCCTTAGAGCCGCCTTGGTACTAAGGGCAGAATGGGGAGCCCAGCTTTACCCATGCCCACCATTAGAGGAAGAGAGGTCAACAGGAAATGGCTCTGACCTCTAGGTGGCCATAGTCTCTCCCGAGGGCTATAGGGGACCCTGAACAGGCAGCAGAAGCCTGCAAAGGACTTCCCCCCTTCCTTGGGCCCCATGGAAGTGAGGCAGGAAGAAGGGCCTCAGCTGCAGGCATCCAGTATGGGGCTGGCCAGACAGAGAGGCCCTGGGGTTGCAGCTATCAGCCGGAGACCAGGCTCCAGGAAGGAAGGAAGGGCAACTCTGGCTGAGGGCGCGATAAGAAGGGGAACTGTGCTCAGCACAATGGGCTCCCACAAGGCTGGGAGGACCTAAGTCAGATTTTGCCCCAACTCAGCCTCCCATCTGCTCACACAACCTATGTAAATATTTACTGATGTTTATATTCCTGGTCCACTAGGTCCTCTCTGAGGCCCTTTCCTAGGACCCACAGATCTGTGAACTCCAGAGTTCCTAGGCCCATCCAGCAAGGGCTCCGGGCATTATTCTCATTCATGCAGGCCACACGGACAGGCCAGTCAGGACACTACTGACTCCATCCCAGACCTGGGACACTGATGTCAGAAAACTACTAACCCCTCCTGTGTGTGAGGAACTTACGGGGCCCGGTCATGGGTGAGGCCGTTCTGACGCTGAGAGTTGATTGGTGGAAGGACAGGTTTGCTGTTGATCTCAAGTCCTCTCCTCAGGGTCTCCCGGATCTGCTCTGTGTCTGCAATGACACCACTAAGTTGCTTGATGGCCCTTTAGACTCCCAGCATCCCCTGGCCCTGCCCTTGGAATCTGGCTCTACAGGTATGCAAGGGAAAGGCCCCTATGAAGGCCAGTCTTCAGCCTACTCCAGGTATCAATCATGAAGTCTAAATGCATGCAGGGTGAGGATACAGGCCAGATGAGGCACTGTGCTCTCAAGAAACTTTAGGTCTGAAGAGCATCATGCTTGTAGTTGTAGAAGACAAGGGGTGGCCTCCAGACTTCAGCAGAGTGCCCTCCACTGTGCTTCCTGTGTCACAGGCCTAAAGCTGACCCTTAACAGGGCTATAAACAGTGACTGACAAGGTCTTTGCTACTGCCCGAGACTACCCAGGCTATGTCCACTTAAATGGAAGCAAGAAAGGACTGCCAGGAATGGGTAGGTGTCTCTTATATAAATTTCTAGGTTCTGAATGGGCAACTGATATTTGGATCTGCTACCCCTTTCTCTTGGGTGGGGTCAGTGGGATGCTGGGTGATCTTCCCACCTTGACCTAGAGAACCCTGCCACTCCACAGGTCTGGCAAGGGCCAGGATGTGAAGGAGGAGTCTGTTGGTAGAACTATTTCTTTGCAAGGTGTTTTGCTCATCTGTGAGGTGAATTTTACTAATCAGATCCCCTATATTGAGATTTGATCTAAGACTTACCGTTGTAAACAAACAAAAAAAGCAAATTAACATTGGTTGTTCAAAGGGTGGACTTAAGAGTAGATGACAGGGCCTCTCTGGTGGTGCAAGGGGTAAAGCACCACACTATGAAGCAATCCATAGCCTCTGCAGCACGAGTTCGATCCCTGGCCGGCCAGGGAGCAACCCACATGGCGAGGCAGACCTCTCCTGTCTCGCCTGCTGCTTCCCTCAGCAGTGTATTTCAATCAGTCTGCCTGTTCTGTTCCCCACTCTGTCTCTGGTGAATCCTCTCACCACCCCCCTCATCTCTGGCCTGTACCCCAGCTCTTGTATGCATAAATAAATCTTAAAAAAAAAAAAAAAAGAGTAGATGACAGAATGATCACTAACTTTTCTAACTGCTTCACTTGTTACCATGGCATGGGTTACTTTTATTACTTTTATTTTTATTTTATTTTTTTATAAATTTTTAAAAAAGATTTATTCATTTATGCACACAAGGACCGGGGTTAGAGGCCAGAGGTGGGAGGTGGTGGTGAGAGGATTCACCAGAGACAGAGTGGGTAACAGAACAGGCAGATTGACCAAAATACACTGCTGAGGGGAGCAGCGGGCAAGTCAGGAGAGGTCTACTGTGCCATGTGGGTCACCTCCCTGGTCGGGGATAGAACTCGTGCTATAGTGGCTGTGGATAGCTTCATAGGTTGCATCTTAACACCTTGCACCACCAGGGAGGCCCACTTTTATTAAAAAAGATTTATTTATTTATACAAGAACTGGGGTACAGGCCAGATGTGCAGGAGGGTGAAAAATTCACCAGACACAGAGCAGGGAGCAGAACAGGCACACAGACCGAAGACACTGCTGAGGGGAGTAGTGGGCAAGGCAGGAGAGGTCTGCCAGGAATCCAACCAGTGCTGCAGAGGCTGTGGACAGCTTCACGGCACTGCGCTCAACCTGCTGTGCCACCGGGGAGGCCCCCACTTCTATTACTTTTAAAAAATACCCAATATTGATTGAAACTTTGGAGAAGACCATGAATCCCTCCTTAAATTATCTATTTTGTCAAGAGCAACTGAATGGTTCTATTAACTGTACACTTTATGTCTGAACCTCCTAAGGGCTTGATACACTTTAGACCAAGCAGGAAAGAGAGGGATAGATATTTTCACTAAGTTTAAGTTGTCCTTTATGAAAAGAGAAAGCCTTTTATGAGTGATATCACATATATAGGTGTTTTATTCAGGCTTACAGTTATAGTATTCTCCAAAAAATAAAAAGTAGAATACAGAAAGAAAATAGAAAAAGAAGCTATAAACACATGTGTATACAAAGGGCTGCTTTTCTTTTGCAGTTAATAAGGAATGTCCTGTTCTAAAAACCACAACTGTTTCTATAGCCAAGACCAGCAAGGTGAGCTTCCAACAGGAGAATCATACCCTCCTTTTCCAAAGTCCCACCTGGAATGCAGCAGGTACAGAATGCCCTGCCCATAGCCCCTTATATTTTGTTTACTTATTTAAGATTTTTTATTTCATGATTTTTGTGTAGAAGAACTGGGTTAGGCCAGAAGTGCGAGGGGTGAGAGGTTCAACAGAGACAGAGTGGGGAGCAGAGCAGGCGGATTTACTGAAATACACTGCTGAGGGGAGCAGTGGGCGAGACAGGAGAGGTCTGCTGCGCCATATGTGGATTAGCTCCATGGTGGGGGATTGAACTCAGGCCGTAGAGGTGACAGCACTGAGACTTAACCCCTAGGGCACCAGGGAAGCCCACCCTTTCATCTGCAGTGGGGCTGGGGAGTTTGCAAGCTGGCCTCACACTTAGGCCTCTCTTGTTTAAGGCCTGCAACAGCCTGAGACCAGAGTGATCCTTGGGTCTGGCATGGCTTTCAGGCCAGAGCTGGGCCCTATGTCAATTTCGTGGGTGGCCGATGCTTGTTCTCTTGCACTTGGGTGGACTGTGGTCTTTTCCTGCAACTGTTCTTTGGCTTCCACTCACCTCCATGACCTCAGATTACAAGGGCTAAATCTAAAACACAATAGTCACTGCTGGTGGTGTATTTGAAATACACACAGGAAACATAGGATAAAATGGGCCAATAAAGCTCCTCTAATTCTACCCTGCTGGAAGATCACACTTGCTGTTTAAATCATGCCAGGAAATAAACTATTGAATGGGCTGTTTTTGTTAGAGACCCATCCTAGAGAGCCTGAAAACCAGGCCTGAGGAAAGGGAAGGAGAAAGGCTGGGTGATGGCTCCTACCTTTGCCAGAGAGCCGCCGGGGCTGTGTGCCAATACAGATGCTCCGGCTGTCCTCGTCATCCTCAGGGGGTCGACTCAGGTCATCCCAGGCACACTTGGCACTGACGCCACTCAGGTTGGAGCCGTCTGTCTCAATCCCTTTGTCAACTCTTTCCTGCTTGGAAAGAACCAAAGAGCCAGAGTTCCTTCAGCTAACCAGTGGCTCAAGGTCACCATCACCATCCCAGTGACCACCTTCTAGTATTTACAGAGCTCTTGTAGGTTCTGAGCACGGGACAAGGGCTGGAAGAACACGCTCTCTGACTTCATTTTGTCCTGGTTATGAATGGATGATAGTCTCTGCCAGCTACTGGATTCCTTGAGGGCAGCCAGGTATTAAAGGAAGCCAGGAAGACTTAAAGTCCCAAGGGAAATATCCCCCCTATCATTAACATTCCAGTACAACGACCATCACACATGTTTCAGAGACCCAACCTTGCCCACCCCAAGTTGGTCCATGGAGTTAATGTGACAGAGTCAGGAACTACTTCGTCTATTCCTTTCCTCCCTGATCATCCAGGAAGAACCCTCAGTCTCTGCTACAGAGGACAGAGTGAAGCCTGCCACAGGCAGGAGAGGCCACACTGCAGTTTCCTCTTCTAACAGCAGAGGGTGTGGTCGTGCAGTGATGCACCACCAGAGAGAAGGGCAGGCCTTCCCCCAACTGCATGGCTAACTTGTTTGGCAAAGGACTCTGGATGGGGTTTCTTTTCCATTTCTTAGACTGAAATGGAAATCTGGAAAGGCAGTGACCATCTGTAGACCACATAAGAGATCCTGTCTTTGTGCAGGCCTTGGCACTGCTAACTCAAAACACTCTCCAAATGGCCTCAAGGAAGGCTTGTACCCAAACATCCCTGGGATTTCTGGTAACAGTTCTGTGATGCTGGGCTTTGGATATACAGGTCATCGGCAATCTTGCCCATAAACAGTCATGTGAGCCAAACAGAGCTCCCGATGAGCACCTCAATAAGAGTCTGAACCTCCGTCTTCCTGACCCTCTCACCAAGGCTCCACTGGAACCAAAATGGTCAGGAAGCCTAACTGGGGAAGCATAAGGCAAGCTTATGTGAGGTTCTTACTTCTGAAAAGCAGTCAGCAGGTGGCCCTACCTTGGATGCCTCCTTCCCTTCAATCACACTCTCTTCCTTTCTAGAACAACCATCAGCCTGGCCAAAGATGGGGATTCTGAGCAGAAACAGGGAAAGGCTGATGGTAATCCTCATGCTCCGGGTAAGAGCATGTGGGCACTGTTTTGCTCAGGGGAGAGGTTGAGCCTTTTTATCTCCACTGACCACCTGAGGCCCCTCACCTAAGTAAAGAGCAGACAACATCTGTTGATTCAACTAGTTCAGCTCACTTTATTCATAAGTAACAAAGAGTTAAGACTCAGATAAGTCAAAGAACTCACTTAGGAACACAGCAGGCTAGGGGTTGAGGTGGGATCAAAGGAACAGGAGCCAGTCCTAAAATAAAGTGGCTGCAAGCAGGCCCCAGAAAGCACCAGCAATTACAAGGAGTTCCCTCTTGGTTCAGAGTCACCACAAAAGAAATTTCTGAATTTTCTCCAAGGCACTTCTCCTGGCTTTTAAAGACTGCCAGGTGCTCTGACGGGTCTCAAGGAAGCTTGATGACTAGGGAGGACAACTGTTCTCAGCATGCTGAGGAAGAATGGGTTGCTTATCCTACCTGGTCAAAGGACCAGGTTTTTCTTATTACTTGACACTTATGACAGGGGGCAAAGAATAGGCCACAGTGCCCCAAGCTGGATCCCAGTGTGGCTGCAGAGCAAGGGTTTAAGGAAACATAGCCTTCACAGTTCCTGGTTCTTGCACAGGCAGAAGCTACAAGGAAACCAAGTTTAAAGTAGAGATAACAGAGGATCCTGGCAGCAATTTGTACACTTCAGTGTTAAAGGCACTAAGAAAATAGAGGAGCATCATCTATGAATGAGTAGGGTCTTCTGCCCAAGAACTCACAGGTCTACAGTGAAGAAACCAGAGACTGCTGGCTTCATGTCCAACTATTACCTCTCCTCTGCCATCTCTCCTCCCTCCCAGAGGACACATAACTCCTTGCTGTGGTCTACCAAACTGTGAGAAGCATGAAAGCATGTGACTGGGAGGGGGGAGGAGTAGAAGGAGGCAGACACATGCCAGGCACATTATGAGCGATCTGCTACCCTTGCTTCATGAGCAGTACAGAAGAGAGGAAGTTATATTCTATGCAACTTTCAAAATTCACTTACATGCCAAAAGACTTCTCCTTTTTGGGGGGGGGGAAAAAAAGATGACAGTGTAACTCTGCACACTCTGGCCACAGTGATGGGCAGCTGCAGGCCTGCGTGTATACAGACCTCCTTTATACATCAAGGAAGCCAGCCTACCTGGGAGAGGAGCTGGATATCTGGGTGCCCAGGATGAAAATGTATCTGAAAGGGGCATGGGACCACTAGACCAATCAGGACTCACCCAGTGAGTGGGTGAGTGGCATCAGTATCACCTACTCTGTCTGTTATTAGGTAGTTGTGTAGGGTGGCTCCCTGAAAGAAAGTCTGCTTTTTTTAAAAGGGGGAAGTGGGAGCATGAATACCAGGCAAGCAATATCTATATACTACATTGATTTTCTTTAGACACTGATGATCTAATTTTTTTTTAAGTCAGGTTTACTGATGTATGAATTGCATACAATAAAATTCATCCTTTTTAAGGGCAAAAACACATGTGTCTGAGACAAGCTTTCCTGATCTGAAATTTCTGCTCCCTTAAGTACTCTGTAGAATTCAGGGGACAAGTCCCAAATCATGCCATATTTCTACTCACTCACAAATAAAGCTCCTCCGTTTTCCCAGGATGAAAGCCAGTGTTATTTGGAAGAGGCCTAGGCACAGTGTGCTAGAAAGGTTTTCCTCACTCAAGACATACTTGCAGGTGTGGATCGATCTCAAATATGGTCTCTCCCCTCCGCATGTCAGTTATCAGCCAGGGGCCGCCAGCGCTGTGGACAAGGAAAGGGGACAGGATGGTAACAGAGAGTCTGTGGTGATGGGCTGGGTCTACAGCCTGTCCTGTTTGCTGCCCCAGGCCTACAATGCAGGGGAACAGTCTGTGGTCAGGGGCCATCAGGGAGCGAGTCCTCAGGAAGCCCTGATGTGAAAAGTCAATGTCTTAAAAGCAATATTAGGGGGAGCCCACACATGGAAGAAGTAGAGAATCCCACCTCCAGGTAACCCAGGCCCCATCTCATAGGGCAGGGGTGTACTCACACGGGCACTGTCCGCAGCAGCTCCAGGATGCCCTGCCCATTCCACTGCTGGGCTGCGTGGAGCTCCTCAGTGCAGACGCCAACAATCTGAGGCCAGGAGACAAAATGCCACTGCATGTTAATGCCCATTCCTCCCAATCTCCCAGGATCTTAGGTTCACCTCAGGCAACTCAGGTTGGGGGACCACTAGCAGGATCTGTGCTCAGGGGCTGGTATGTCCAAAATGGGATGGTTTCCTTAGGAGGGAACAGCTGCCTGGCTAGGAGATGGAATGGCTCACAGTACACTGAGACCTGGCCCTTCCTCTGCTATGGCAGGTCAGGCATCTGGCTGACACAAAATCCAGCCACAGGCTGCATGGGAGAAAATTAGGGCCAACCAACTCAGGACAGTCACCCGCTCACATCCCTGGAAATAGAGGAAGGCCAAAGAGATGTTCCCACCCAGCCTAAGATCCTGGAGAATGTAAACAGAGAAGATTTTGAGGTCCTTTAAACTCAGAACAATGGCGGAAGGCCCCAACGGCTTGCAGAGAAGCTTCCTTCCTTATTAGGGACTGAACTCTTCATGTAAATATCAACAGAAATAATTGAACCTTCACAGGGACCCCATCTGATGGAAAGCAAGTCCAAGTGAGGGGGCACATGCACACCCCTTTCAGGTGAGGCTAAGCCCAGTCCAAGTCCTTCCTGCTGGGAGGTGCTGGGCTTGTGGCTGTCTTGGTCTTTACTAGTTCACAGAAATACGCTTCATCTCAGTTGTAGCCACTCTCTGCTGCCCAAATGGCCTCTTCCCTTTCCCTTCTCCAATCTCAGCAGGTTAAATCTGAATCTACATGACAAACAATCAGAGGGAATAGAAAATGGAAGAAGACCAAAGGGAATCTTCTGTTCACTCCTCCTACCCAAGTCCTCCTAGGCTACTAGGACTTTGCCTGCATGGAAGCTTGAGCCAATGTCCAACCTGAGCCTTACCTGAAGGAAAGTAACTACCCCAAAGGGTGTCTGCACTGGTTGCATCTGTGGGTCCTCTGTCAGCAGCATGTGCTGAATTCTTGACTCACTGTTATCCAAAGGGCTGTGCCAAGACACATGGTCCCCACTGCAGAAGGTGTTCTCTGTGGGAGAGACAAGAGGATCCTCAGTGTTTGAGACCCTGCATCCAGGCCTGGAACCGATCTGGGTACTGAGAAGCCCAGGCTTGGAGGCTCCCTGGCTTCTGAGTAGCCCCTATGAAGAAAAAGCATTTATTGGGATGGAGGCTATTGCCCCCAAACCAAACATGTTCCTGCTCGCCAATTCTGCCAGCCTTCAGCAGAAAAGCATGTTATTGGTGCAGGTGCTCGCTTTGCCTGGCAAATCCAAAGATTTTTGGCCTCTGCTTCACTTCCTCAGCACCTTCACTGATTCAGAGGTCTGATCAGGGTAGCCATGATAGGGTCTGCCAAGAAGAATAAAGGGCTTTACTGAGGAGTCACCTGGCCAGCAGAATACAGGGAGGCTGGAAGACAATGAATGCCTTTCACCTTATAAAACTAAACAGGATTTTTATGCTGCTCAAATACTTCTTGAAAAGGGCCCCGCCCCACACCCACCCTCTAAGGCCTTTAAAATATGCCACCTTGTTTCCCACAGGCAGACAGATTTAAGGACCAGTTCCTCAGTGAGAAACATCTGAATTGTATCTCACACACCTTGGCAGAGATGCACAGCTTGAAGGGGCTGTTTCTGTGAGGATGCAGGCCCACTATTTTAAAAAACTTTAAGGTAACATAACCACATAGAAAAAACAAGCCACATAGCATGAAGTCTCCCCGACTCTTAGGTACCCTCCCAAAGGTACTCTACATAACAAAGGGGAGAGAAGACATGGATCCAGGCAAAGCCAACCAGAAATCCCCCCAAAGTTCTCAACTCCTGCTGGGCCCACTTTTCCCAAATTCCTCTTTTTTTACAGAAATGTATGTTTACGAGCAGCCTGCATGAGCTGTACCTAAGAAACAATGCAACAAACAAAAAGATTTAATTAGCAATTAAAAGCTTCCTCCAAAATAAAACCTTCAGGTCCAGATGGCCTCACAGGTAAATTCTACCAAACATTTAAAGAAGAGTTAGCACTAATTCTTCACAAATCCTTCCAGAAAAAGAAGAGTTAACACTTCCCAATTTAACCTATGAAATCAATATTATCCTGATAGCAATACCAGACCAAAACATTACAAGAGAGACATAGACCAATATCCCTTAGAGAGTTATGCACAACCCTCATGCAAAGATCTTTAATAAAATACTAGTGAACCAAACATAAAAAAAGGGTTATACACAATGATCAAATGGGATTTATCCCAGAAATGCAAGCATGAAATCGATCCCTGGCCAGGGAGCTGACCCACATGGCACAGCAGACCTCTCCTGACTTGCCCGCTGCTCCCCTCAGCAGTGTATTTCTGTGAACCCGCCTGTTATGCTCCCAACTTGTCTCTGGTGAATCCTCTTACTCCCCGCCCACCCCCCCACCTCTGGCCTACACCCCACCTCTTGTATGCATAAATAAATCTTAAAAAAAATTTACAGAATAAACAGGTTCAGCAAGGTTTCAAAGCACAAGGGTCATAAACAATAATCACCTGTATTTCTATACACTGACAATAAACAACCTGACAATGATACTGAGAGGACAATTCTATTTATAATAGAATAAAAAAGAATATGATACTTGGGCATAAATTTAATACAAGAAATGTAAAACTTGCACCTGGAAACTACAAAGCATTGTTGGAAGAACTCAGAGAAGACTTAGATAAACAGAAAAATGTCCACTCTTCACGATCAGAAGATTCAATATAATTAGGATCATTACTCAAACTGATCTACAGATTCAATTAAATCCCTATCAAAATGGCAAATGCTAGTTGTATTGTTTTATGCAGAAGTTCACAAATTAATCTGAAAATTCATATGAAAATGCAAGGAACACAGACTAGCCACAATAATTTTGACAAAAATGAACAAAGCTGGAAGACTTATTCTTCCCATATCAAAATTTGCTACAAAGACAATGTAGTACTGGCCTAAGAATAGACATTTGAGCAATGTAAAAAACTTTAGAATCCAAAAATTAGCCCTTACTTTTATGATCAATTAATTTCGACAAGTGCCAAGAAAATTCAATATAGGAAAAAACAGTCTTTTCAGCAAATGGTTTTGAACAACTGGAATCCATATGTGAAAGAATCAAGATGGAACCCTTCCTTTCAGCATAAATAAAAATTAATTCAAAATGCATCCTATACCTAAAGGTTACAACTAAAACTATGAAACTCTTAGAAGAAATACAGGAGTACATCTTCTGAACTGATTTTGCAATGGTTTCTTAGACAACTAAAGCGCAAACAACACAGGATAAATTGAACTTCATCACAATAAAACTTTTATGCTAAAAATAGTATCATTAAGAAAGAAAGAAATATGAATCAAAACAAAAAAGAGATACCATTTTATTAGGATGGTTATTAAAAAAAAAAACAGAATAACAAGTATTCTTTGGTGAGGATGTGGAAAAATTGGAAGTCTTGTGGATTGCTAGAGGGAATGTAAAACAGTGGAACAACTTCACAAAATGTTAAACGTGGAGTTAGCATATGAACCATCAGTTCTACTGGTAGGTGTCTCTGGTGAATCCTCTCACCCCAGCCCTACACCTCTGGCCTGTATCCCAGCTCTTGTATGCATAAATAAATAAATAAATAAAAAGCAGTAAGTGAGAGGGATAAATCTTGGAGAACATGCAAAGTGGTAAAGTAAGGCCAAGGCCCTGGATTCCCCGTTTTAGATCCAGAGTATCATTTATAGGTCTACATGACAAATGATCACCTAGTTCAACACTTTTATCTTCTACAAATGAGGAAAGGACCCTAGAGGCTGCCTAAAGTCTTGTGACAATGCAGTGATGATGGTTACAGAGCTGTATTTCCCAAACTTTTGAGGCACCCACAACACCCATCAGCATGTTCAATATCTCTGCACCACTTGTATGTCATTACATATTGGTATTTTCCCCCATAAGTGATTCTTTTTTTAAAATATAAATAAACTCACTTTAAAAGGAAACATCATGTCACTACACTAAATAAATTAAGTGGAAAATCAGTGTTGCACAGAAGATAATCTGATAAATTCAAAATAATTAAATGAAAACAAAATGGTATTAATTTCTAGTGGATAATGTCATCTACCTAACATTGTTGAAACTGAAATGAACAAGGATTAAAGAGCTGTTAAAGGTTTAGAGTCATAGGGCCTCCCTGGTGGCGCAAGGGGTTAGGCGCAGCACTGTGAAGCTGTCCGCAACCTCTGCAACTCAAGTGCTATCCCCTGTTGGCCAGGGAGCTACCCACATGGTGCAGCAGACCTCTCCTGTCTCACCTGCTGCTCCCCTCAGCAGTGTATTTCAGTCTGCATATTCTGTTCCCCACTCTGTCTCTGGTGAATCCTCTTACCCCCACATCTCTGGCCTGCACCCCAGTTCTTGTGTGCATAAATAAATGTATCTTTAAAAAAAAAAGGTTTAAAGTAATATCATACTGACAAAATCACCAGGATTGAAATGGAGAACTGAATATGGCAGACAGTCCTCCCTATCCATGTTATCGGATGTTTTGTCTAGTTACCACCTAAAATCTCCTGCTGGCTGCAGACTAGCAGACTGGTTAACGTTGCAGCTGGCAAGGCCCTGTTCCGATTTGCCTCTGCCCCAACCACAATTTCTAAGTCTATTTCTTCACTTATAAGGAGCAAACAGTGTGCCTAGTGACTGTGTTTTCCACTGGTGTAATTGTTCCTTTGCTGGAATACAGTTTACATACTGCCACCAAAGTCCTAGTCATTTTGCCAGAAAATAGGAAGAACCACAGAACCTGTAACTAACAGTAAGTGCCAGTAGGTGGCACCATCACTCTGGGTTTAAGAAAGGCCAAGCAGTTCCCTCCAGCACCCTACATCTAACTGACGGCTGGTCTGTAGAAATATACCTCAAACTTATAAGGACTTAGGATGGAAACAGGGAAAAGACTGGAAAGGTCTGGAGTCATGATTTTTATTAACTAAAACTGACACGATTTAAAAATAAGTACTGAGCAAACCCCAACTATTTAAAGGAACTAAGTCCAAAGATTCTTCAGACTTAATTTGGGAAGGGGCTTACTTTAGGCAGCTGGGTAAGGAGAACCTGTAGCAGGAAAGAGAGACAGACCCAGTCGCTGCTCAGGATTTGGCAAAAGGTGCTAGTGTGTGAAAGGGGGAGGGGAAGGAGAAAGCAAAACTATCCCACAAAAAGGTTTTAAGAGCTCGATACTAACAACCTTCTGGCCAGAGGCAGAGTCTTTCTTCCCCAGCCCTGCTTGGTGGGGGAACTAGACTTATTAGCTCTGCTGTGGCCAAGAAACAGTCTTTCTTAACAATGAAAGAGGGTTGGTCACAGTTTTCAAGCCCGGGACAAAGCCACAAAGGGCTCATTCTTGAGTCCAGTCTGGTCTTTATGCCCTGGATGCTCAGCCCCATTTTATGTGGAGCCACCTTACTCAGGCCCCAGTGCCCACCCCAGGAAGCTCTCTGCCCCTACAGAGAGGTTTTCAAATGCTAATAATGCCCTAGCAGAGGCCCAGCTGTTCAGTCCAGTGGTCGAGGAGCTGGCTCCCTCTCCCTTTATTCTGGATGTCTGGAAGTATCCTTAACCAAGAAATTAGGGTGTAAATCTGCAGGGACCCCACCCAAGCCACTCAGCAAAAGGGCTGCCTGGTGTGTAGACAGGCCATTCCATGTGAGGTCTGGATTTTCACTTTCCCTTCCCTTCCTTCCTCCTCTGAACTTTGCCTTCAAGTTGCATGAGAAACCTCCCTCAGTGCTGCTTGTTTGGAAAATTCACCAAAGGGAAAATAGTACTTAAAGATAGGAAAGAGGATTCAAAGATGCTAGGTACAGTTCTCTATCTTACTTCACTGAGAGAAAGGTTTCGTTATAACTCTAATCTTTTCCCCCATTAACAAACAACTCTCTAGAAAGAACTCTTAACAGTTGGGGGGAAAGGGCTATGTGAGTGTGCAAAATCTAAATGGTCCTT